AACACTAACTTCTGAATGCCTCGTCGAACACTGTCAGTTACTCCGACATCCGGAGTTTCATTCCCCTCGTGTCTTTTTCTCAAATGTTCCTCCTTCTTCGCCCGTGCCAGACGATCAAGTCCGAGTACCGATCTAAAAACAAAAACACACATTTGCTCTAGACGGAAGCACTTTGGAACTAGTTGAAACTAAAGAACCCCGCTGGTGTAAAACCAAAGTTCCCACATGATACACGGTGGCAAAGGTGCACACACAATCAATTTTCATTTTATTGCTGCACAGTTTGCCCTAATTTTAGTTTTGTTGTAATTTGCCTGCGCTTTCAGTTCAACAGCAAAACTAGCTATGATCGCTGAGTTTCTGCTGAATCACACATGAAGTTTTTTGCTCACAAGATTAACATAATCCATGCAATGCAGTATCCATATAATCTGTCAATCAATCAGAAAGTGAGAGCACAAAGAACTGGCCAGAAGGCTCCGAAAAAGCAGAAGAACTCCTACAAAACACCAATTTTCGTGAATTAATGGAGATTCGAGAGCCTAGCTGACTCGCAACGCTGTTTTATGCCAAAGAGCGTAAAACCCAATTCACCGGTCAGCGAAGGAGCTATTACAGAGTAATGTTAAGTGGTGCGAAAGACTATTAGCGCTCAAGTTTCCGCGGAGCGAAAGCGAAGCCAACATTTCGAGGACACATTTCACGTAAAAGTAAGGAAAGCAAACTCATGTCATAAAAAACAGTACAGCCGTAGATACTGTGCACTATTTTGGTCGCCTTGTACAACAGAATTCGATTTTGCTCAACTGTTACGTAAGAATCTTACTTCAGGCAAAGCGACCCTCGAAACTCTTTTCCATTCGATATTAACTGAACGATATAAGGTCCACGAAGGATAACATAATAATAAATGTTCCGCGCTTTCTCTGAAATTCCGGGACTGGGCGCGACATTTTGGAGGGCTTGTAGCTAAGTAACCAGAAACCGATCTTTTCCCAGCGTTCTGGATAGTTTCTGTTCTGTTCCAAATAAAAGATTATAAGAGAAGAGATTTCATAAAAACAGCGAGATTCTCTGATTTGCAAGTTAGACCTTTCAGACTTAGTTGCCTTTCATTCTACTTCTCCAATTTTCTTTTCGTTTCTTTTAATATAGTATTTTACACGATGAAAAAAAGGAGAGAAATGACGAACCACATATTTCTGGCCTACTTGAAGAACGCTCCACAGATACCATTTTGATTTAAACTATTGTATAAATTTCTAACTTATCATCAATAAAAAGCGACGGCGGCTTTCCTATCCCAACAAATATATTTCTATGCAGCTATACGGTAGTGACTACAAAATCCTTTACAAACCTGCTTTCCGCGTGTGGTTTTTTCTCACTGTCGGACTTCTTCTTACGAATTTCTAATCCTCCGAAAGTGTCCGCTCGACCCTCGAGACGATCAATCGCCTCTTCTGACATCTTCATAGATTTCGATAACGTAAAACGAGGTAAACAAAAATTATTTTGTGAAGACCAAGTACGTTCTACAGTCGAGAGATTAAGGCCGGTAGTAAGCCTACTGTGTGCGTAGATTTATCTCAAGCGACCGCTTATGCAAGCCTACGATGGATTCGGTCGAAATGCTTTTTATAGTCGTAGCGAAAGTATAACGACTCTCCTCTATAATAACCTATTGTTTGGATGATTAATGGCCAATAGACAAGGAGAGTGAGGGAACGTCGAGAATTACTAACAGGGGTCCTTTGTGGATCTCAGGGGCAAAGGAAGGCCGTATTAAGTGGAATGGTACTGCATCACTGAAGGGGAGAACAGGATTCGGTCCCTGGCTATGTAAAAACAATTGACATGAAACTAAGTTAAATATACATGTGGGAACTTTTAATCGCATTCTGCGGGACCCTTGCCGCGAATTCTTGGTGGTGTGGTTTACGCCGAGACTGTTTGCCATAGAAAAAATGGAGTCCAGCATAACTCCTACATCGCTCAAATCCGCCAGGCGTATGCTATGCTCCCCCAACAGGGGAGGGGTCCCCGTCCCGGTATGCTATGCTCCCCCCGACAGTTCTCGGGGAGAGGCCACGCCCACCGATAGCCGGGGATATCTCCCTATCGCCTGCCGATCGGGCTAGCCGGGGATACCGTAATTTCGTAGCCGCCGTACGCATAATTGACTGTCGCGCGCACAATTCTTCTATGGGTTGCGTACTGCAGTTTTAAGAATTGCTTATTTGTGAGTACATCACTACAAATATGATGTGCAGAATAAGGTTTAGTGTCGGACACCCTTAATCAACCCCCACCAAACTTTTTTTCAGATGATTTGTGAAGCGGTGAATGATGAACAAAGATATAGGATGGCTGATGTTTATTTGTGTTTATATTTTTGAAGACATTTTTAAGCTGCATTAACTTTAAATTGTGACTACTTACTCACATTGACAGATTCATTAGTCAAGTTGAGCAGCCTGATGTAGCTTTTTTATCCATGAGTTAAAGTTCTATATTTGTTAAGTCGAAATAATATGAGTGCAGAATTTTTTTTCACGATAAAAAATAGTTGTGCTTATCGACGACGCCAATTGAATTTTTCAGAAATGTGAGCGACTATTTCATTTCTATCTGATCTATCATAGCCATGGAACAATTTTTATACGTAGAAAACAAAGGCAGTATCAAATGTCTTGCCAACCAACCATAATTAAGAAAACTTGAACGTAATATTAAAGGCAAATCGCGCTCTGCGCTGGAAAAGGGGAATTAGAAGGATGAAACCGCGGGTTTTCCCAATTACAGAATGAGCTCACTAAAAACCTGTTAACTTTGAATTGAGATACTGTGTGCAGGCTTAAATATGCGATAAAAGGAAAAGTACAATACAATAAATGTTCCATTGCAGCTGGCGTCCACAGTTGGGGAGATTGAAGGACTAATTTACGTACAAGCTGACTCCAGTCATGAGTTAGGCCCTTCTCCTCCTCTAATACTCGTTTGTTTCGAGTTAGATCTCTAATTTGTTGAAGCATTTCCATTGGATTTCTTTTGCGGAACATGTTCGTAATGCTTGTAGGAAGCAAGTAAGAATCATACCTATATTTAATACAAGGAGGTACTTGCTCGCTGAATGAAGCAATCAGCAGCGGGAGAAATCTTTGTTTAAGTTCATCGCAAAATTAGATTGTTAGAAGATTATCTGCTTTTATTCTGACCACAGCAAGTTTTCGAGTTCTTCAAGATAAATCTCTGGCTAATCTAATACATTTTATAGAATGATGTATAGAATGATCTTCTTCGGATCATTACCAACCAATGTTCGTGGCTGGAGCATGGAGCGTGAAATGAGGTGGCTGATTAACTCCTTAAACATTCTCAGTAAATGAAGTAAACGATATACGTCAAATTGAGCATTATTAAAACGCTTCAGATGCTCTATGGAAGACAATGCTGATCATAGTCATAATATAGTGGACATCAAAGAATTCTAATGATTTTCTCCTTAACTTTCGAGGTAACATTGCTAATCTTCGATCCTGAGTATCCTATCCTGCATATGCACCCTGAGACTTTATAATTGTAGCTTTTTAAGCCTAAAACTAATGTCTGGCAAGATGCCAAGTTCTTCGCGCCATGGATACTCTGCATGTCTGCATCCCCTGGGGAGCCCCGCGAGCATAGCATACGTCCGCTTTCGGGGCGGCCGTAGCCGGGGAGCTCCCCCAATAGGGAGCCCCTCCCTTGTTGGGGGAGCATAGCATACGGCCCCAGAGTGCAATATCTTTGCCCGCGCGACACAGCGTTCGCAAATTAAGCAGCCAGTCCAAGTTACAAAGCATACGTTGCTTGCGTATAGACACAAAAAGACACAAGTGACGACTTTTGTTTTCGAGACGTACGTGGCGACTATCGTGAGTCTACAATTTACCCACACATGCCACGGGAACAGAATGTAGCGACCTAGTGGAGCGTCAGCATTCAATCACGTCTCACACGTTCCACAATGGCTACGGCTAAGACGGCAGAGTATAGATAACATAATTCGCCCTCAGGGAAAAAAATTCGAATGTGGAGGTCCTTTCGCATAATATATGTTCAGTCAGTAATATTAATCACTTGAATAAATAGATAGGACTTTCGAAACATCAATCGATACCATGCAGAACACCTTGTGACTGTCGATTTTGAACTGAATTTTACTGTAAACGAAACTGACCACTGTTATATTTACTGTACAATGAGCATATGAAACCAATGCGATGAACTTCAAACAAACTGGGATCCTATTCACAGACTGACAAATTGAAAACAGATCGGGCTATTTTGAAAGTCGACAACCAACAACACTAATTACGAATAGAAAATGAAAATAAAACAGCGTATGAAACGGCTAAGAGGTGAATTGGGAAAGGCACCAAAAGCACTGCGTCAGCTTGTCAAACATATATGCAAATGAACAAATTCAAAACAAAAAGCATAGGAAAGTCTTGATTAACGTGAATCAAGCCAATGCTAGGCTGTATGAAAGTGAATGCAGAAACGGATACAGCACATTCTATAAGAATTAGAACGCAAAGCGAATCGTTGCGCAAGACTAACAGGCGAGGACGGAAGCCCAGTATGACCAGAGATGCTACTGAATTTCATGCAAGTAATTATGCTAGTGACACAAACAATTGTGAGAAGAAATGTAAATTATAATGGATGACGGCAAAGGGGAAATCGTCAAAGTGTGAGAAAAACAATTAGGAGACGCATGACCGAAGACAACGCATGACATAAACCCTTCACATAGTCTGACCGGCATGAGAATCCTCACAGCGACGCTGCTTCGGGATTCTAAGCGATTTAACCATCTAAAGTGCTGAGGCCGCACCAAGAGTTCCAAACAAACGTCTCCAAACTTTGACACCATCAAATATTCATTTCAGACAAGCTGCAACATGAAGTGGCTGGACCACTTCGACCCGACTTAAGCAGAAGCGGGAGAACTGCGAAGGCCTGATATGATGAGAGGAGGGACATGATGATCACCACGCTCACATATGTCGGCGTTGACTCCTCCGAGGCATCGTGTTGTATGTGTTCTCTCCTCCTTCTAACGTACGTGATCTTGATCCAGAACGTGAACGATTCTTACGGCGACGATGTGGCTATAAAAGGTGAGGCTAAGTATGATGCAGCTATGTAAATATCCGAAAGCTATCAAATGTCTCAAACCTCCTCATCGCCTGATTCATAACGCTGGCCCATCGACCTCTCGTGCTCAGCGTCTTCGTCGTCAATCTCCTGTATTCCTTCAACCTGGATACGCTTCCGAGGTTCATTCTCACGGTCGCGATTAACGTCACCAGCACTGTACGACCTGTGAAAAATGTTATTCTTTGATCTTGGCGATGAGAAAATCGAACTAACTCACCTCTGCAGCTGATTTACCAACTGAGCTTGACCACGTAGAGCAGCTTCGGCTACGATATCACGAGCACACAATAAGCTACGACTTCCCAATCGAACAAGCTGAAAACGGTGAGTTAGAGATAACATAATGAGAGCAAGAAGTGAGTTGCAGTCAGTGTCCTCCCGATTGCACTGCTGAAGAAAAAAGATCTTCTCCATGAGTTTCTTACCGCGGCTACCCTCGAATATAAGCTTAAGTACCACACGCAAGCGCGCTCGTTGAATGCTCTTTTTGTTTACTTTTTGTGATTGCGATAACCGATTCGTACGGTATAATGATGGATATTTTGAAAAATCACACTTTCACGTGCTATAGATGCTGGCAATTAAGATTATGTGGAGAAAAGAGCAACCGTGACGCTGGTCTGAAAACCACAACCCTTTCTTGGGATGAGCCGTGCATCCCGCCTCCATCAAAAATCATATTGGCACTATGAATGCAATGCGGCCTAGCAATCACTGAAGAGAGAGTAGGTGCACAAGTAGATGAGATAAGTTAGAGTTACCATTCGCTGCTAATTGACTAGATTATTTAAACAGCATCTTTATCTCAAAAAACTCCACTGGAAGCCTCGTGAAGGATTGCGGCGATTTGATGGCGACACTATTTGCTTTAGTTGTCAGCGGGGTTTCGTAACAAATACATTCATGACGTAGCTCTGAAAAATCGTATTTGGTATTCGATGCACAGGTTTAGTGGTGTGTGCTTACGTTTCACTTAGTGGTATTTCAAGTTGTCTTGGCAACCCACTGATGTTTTTTACACTAATTCAGAATTTCCTTAACAACAATTTCAACATCATCGAGCTGTGTTTGAGTAGCCGCTCATGTGTGTGACACGCAATAAAGATAAGGAACAGGTGTTATTTTGCTTCGTTCGTCACACTTCGTGAACTGTCGCCTTGACCTTTTACTTTATTTTTCTTGTAGCTACTTATTGATATTTGACTGATATGCAATCAAACAATCATTGTAAAGTTGCTGTTTCATAGCAGTCTTCAGAATATCGTCGAGCATTTCACATAGTAACGATGAGCGTGGTTTAAGAAAGACCATTTGGTTGCAAACAAATTTTGGCGAAGTTACTCCCTCCCCCGCTGCTTCCTCTGAACCCTTATTAATGTTCATACATAATTATGCTGCACCTGAGTTCTAGCAGTCATGGAGAATACAAGCTACTCTCTCGGTTTGCATTTTTTGTGTGTAGTTTTCAATTACCTAAACGTTTTACATTCCTAGAATTTATGTCTGGGTTAAGCGTCTCTTTCGTCAAGTGGTTGAAGTCTTCATTTGTGAGAGTAGCTGAGTGTAAATAAGGCTATGAGTGAAGAGAATGTCCTTTATAAGAATTGAAGGTGGATTAATTTTAAAGCGAATAGGTTTCTTCCAACGGTGCTAACTTAGTTGGGGGGGGGCACGCGGCGGCGCGGCAGTCTGCTCACCTGGGCTCTCTCGAACGAGACAGTGTAAACTCGAACATTCCAGCTTTTCACGCATGTCAAGTGACTGCCCCCACCCCCCACCCCCTAGACTGGCTACACTCCCCCTGGCCCACGGATTTCCGAACATGCCAGGCGAGCAGACTGCCGCGCCGCCGCGTGCCCCCCCCCAACTAAGTTAGCACCAGAAACTTTACGATATAGCAGTGAGGGAACCTTTGCGAGCTCTTCGAAAACTAACTAGACCACCTGAAATAATGGTAAACCGCTTTCAAGTCTGGCCACACCGACGTTGCAAACGGAAACTAGATTTATCCCCTTTGTTTTGACGACCCTCGTAATAGCAAATGATACGGATTATGAAACTCTATTAATTTGAACTCAAATATCTTTCCACTGAAATTTATTTCTGTTGGATACAGTTTTGTGAGCACGATTGTGCCCATCCCTAACGTCAGAAAGTAATTCGATCCGTCGGTTTAGCTTTCCTTTATTTCCCGTTTCCTTTGCTTCTCGGTCTTCACTCGTACTCACATATCCTATATGTCATGCTGTTATTGCGAAGATATTGCGGATAAAATTATTTTCAAGGTTCGAAGTGGCTAAAGGCCTGGACAGCAAAAGGTCAGCAAGTTTTATTCCATCAGCATGTCGGTTGTTCTGTCCCGGGCGATTACCCTAACAGCAGGCACATTGTATCCTGCCTACAGAAGCTACAAGGTGATTTTTTGTGCTTTTATCATATCATAACCACAAAATAAGGTCCCCTACACAGGCATGTGGTCCAAAGTAGGGACTTGTTTTCTCTTACGAGGTGCTATTACTGCCGCCCGCAATTACTTCAGAGTTCCTTTTTGAAAAATCCAAGGCATCCTTTATAGTATATCTTACTGTAGTATCTTAGGATCTGTTTTGATCTCTGTTTGAATTTTTAGTCCACCAAAAAAATCCCTACCCTCGGTATTGTTCGACTGACTGACATTTCGCGGAATTGTTTACGGGAAATATTTTAAGAAATTTCTTTTCGCATGGGCGTTTTGGAAGGTCATTAGGTCCTCTCTGCCTTCTTTCTGAGTTCCTTTCAGAATGCAATTTGGGTTACTGGAGTTTTCTATTTGCAGGCCATTCGGACGAAAGATGTACCGAGAATACGTTAAGTGGATGATGTACTGGATTGTTTTTGTCGATGTACACGTTGGTAGAAGCGCTAGCAGATATTTTCATCTCCTTCTGGTTTCCCTTCTACTATCAACTCAAAATCGTTTTGTGTTATGGTTACTCAGTCCGTGGACGAAGGGTGCATCCATTTTATACCGAAAGGTACATTTTTCTTAATGGTTTTTATTTTTTTATTCTCTTGGCACTTTTCTTTCCCACTCATATCTTAATGAATTGGTTAGTAGCTTTCGTAATCTGAAGGGATTAATTTATTAGTAGTCCATGAAAGTTAGGTAAACTCCCAACCGTGAGGGTTTAAAATTGGCTGGGCGTGAATGTGTCGAACTGGTTAGCTATCTGTTATTATCAACTTTTCAACGTGATTGAAGGACTTTTCTTCAAAAGTCTACAGCGGTGGCAATGATAGTCGAATTCGGGTGTGTTCGAAAATTGGTGCACTCGTTTCACGACATTCTTAGCATGTTAGGATTCAGTGCTCTCTGTAAGTAGGAAAAAAGATCACTAATTATCATTAATTTATGAGATCTTTTTTGTGCAGCTCTTTATCTCCTCATTTCATAGGCGTTTTTTTTTCTTACTCATGTGAACGGTGAATTTTCTAAAATTCTGGAAAGACGGGATATCGCAGCCTTATCTTATTCCAGACAAGAATGTAACTTCAGCATTAGGCTGATGTTACCGTAATCGGGACAGCGCGTCAAATGAGATGCATCATCGGCGCGCGCACACAATCTACGTTGTACTTGACGGCAAGCTAGAAGATTCTGGAAATGTATCGTCCATTTAGTCGACGCTTCAACTATTTCCACGGTGAAACTCGGGTTCGGGGGGGGGGATCGGCCGCGCGCGGCCGTGCGGCAACAGGAAATTCGTGAGCCAGGGGGAGTGTAGCCGAATTCAGGGGGGTTGGGGGGTGAGGGCAGCCACATGACATGCGTGAGAAGCTGGGATGTTCCGTGAGAAGCTCGAAAGTTTACTTCTTGCTCTAGGAGCATATCATGGGTAATCATCGTCACAGGTTATTCTTTTGTTCACGAACCGTCTGTTCACAAAAGACCGTAACAACTTGTCATCTGAGATGTAACCACATTCGCATAGAAAGAAGTAATGAAATTTATTGAACGGTGATGAGTACATCAGCGGACATGACACCACTGCATACATGAACGCATTACCTATGCTTCATTGATGACCATCTAAGGTGATGTGATGAGCAATGCGTTCGTTGCTGAGTAGACTCATAAATACATGATATGCTGGCCTATCTGATAGAGCCGATTTCGAAGACTCATCGTCGGACGTCCAATACGCAGCTAAACATCACTACCCTCTTGCGAACGATTTCCATCACATTACACAGTCCCTGGGATGGAAAACCTTAATCACTTTTCAACGAAATCTACGATAAATGATATATAAATATATATCTGACATCTAATAAGGCAAGTTATTATGACAACAATTTGTGATCCTAATGCAGGGAATACTCAGAACATGGACAATCTCTTTACATTACTACAGCATGTGTAAACGAATCGTAGCAACCAGGCATGGGCGACAGTTGGACAAATAAAGGCACGCGCAATCAGTATTGAATTGGAGAAAGAATAACGAAAATAGCTGGAACAGAGATACAATACGATGACCCAATTGAGAAGCGACGGCTTTTCATGGCGTCGCTGATGCATAGCAATGGGCGCTACTACATCTTGGACGCACTTCTATGTCGCTCGCGTCCATAAGTACCGTAGTTACAAAACATCAAAATGTATGTTTTGATAATAGGGCCTAAAAAGCGGTTCCATTACGCTCGCAAAAAATTAGATTTTCCATGAAATTTTCTTATCCACTCCATAACGATCACTGAATATTAACGAGAATACCTCAAGGGCTCCCCCTACTTTCTCCACGATTTGAGGCGCCCGCATTGCGGATGCCTATGTCGTCAAGTGCAACGTAGATTGTGTGCGCGCGCCGATGATGCATCTCATTTGACGCGCTGTCCCGATTACGGTAACATCAGCCTAAATCGAAGTTCTCATATCTTGAGAAAGAGCTTAGTTTTCAGACTCTCCCGTGGCCGTAAGAGTATCCCTCGGACGAAAGTTCCTTTAAATTTTCTCTGTAGTCCCAACTGGGATTGTCCTGATAAAGGGCCTACATCTAATATATGTGTGTAGCTTAAAGTAAGCATGCATTGAAAATAAAGAAACAGTATCGTTCAAAACAAAAATTTAAAGGGACTTTCGTCCCCGCAACCCATTCTCGGGGAAGCAATATTAGGCCACGGAACTCATTTCTCCTGAGTTCTAACGCATTTTGGGCACTTCTGAAAAGAAACATCAAAATTATATATTATACCAGTTTAGCTCCGCACACTACCGCGTGCATGACACGGAAGGGCTCCGTAAAGCTGGCCAGCCGGAGGAGCGTTAGGTTCTGCCGCTAAACAATAACTTGCTTCGTGAAATGCGTTAGCTGGCCTTCTACAGAAATGCCCATTTTTAAACAACCGTCTGATACGCGCGGTGGAGTGCGGAGCTAAAGTGGTGTCTGTAAACAGCCACCATGCATTGGATGTCAGGATGATTTAGCGGTCGAATAATATTGATGCCAATGATTTTGCAATAGAAATACCCATTATCGTATATCGCTAAACATCCATCATACATTCTTAGGGACTTTGGGAATTTAGCGGTCGAACGGTATTTTATGTTGACAACAACCCAATGAGATGATACTGAAGTGAAATGCGTTATCTAGAATATGGTTTTGAGTGGTCACTATGTTTCTACGACTATCGTAATTATCGGCTTTTATCGGCCCTTGTCACTTCCTGTACCCCATCCAACATGTTCCCGTCCTCCGTGACATCACTTCTTGGAACCAATGCCCCACTGCTGCTGGGACGCGCGCTATGAATTTCGTGAAATTTGCGTTTCAGCGCCTCTTATCAACCTTATCAGCCCTTATCACTTCCTGTACCCCACCGAACATGTTCCCGTCCCACGCTGTACATCACTTCTTGGAACCAACGCCCCACCACTGCTGGGACACGCGCTATGAATATCATGAAATTGGCGTTTTGGCGCCTCTTATCAGATCTTATCAGTCGGTATCACTTTATAAACCCCACCAAATATGTTCCCGTCCCACGCTGTACATCACTTCTTGGAACCAACGCCCCACCACTGCTGGGACACGCACTCTGAATCATGAAATTGGCGTTTTGGCGCCTCTTATCAGATCTTATCAGTCGGTATCACTTTATAAACCCCACCAAATATGTTGCCCGTCCCACGCTGTACATCACTTCCTGGAACCAACGCCCCACCACTGCTGGGACACGCACTCTGAATGTCATGAAATTGGCGTTTTGGCGCCTCTTATGAGATCTTATCAGTAGGGTATCACTTTATAAACCCCACCAAATATGTTCCCGTCCCACGCTGTACATCACTTCTTGGAACCAACGCCCCACCACTGCTGGGACACGCGCACTCTGAATGTCATGAAATTGGCGTTTTGGCGCCTCTTATGAGATCTTATCAGTAGGTATCACTTTATAAACCCCACCAAATATGTTCCCGTCCCACGCTGTACATCACTTCCTTGGAACCAACGCCCCACCACTGCTGGGACACGCACTCTGAATGTCATGAAATTGGCGTTTTGGCGCCTCTTATGAGATCTTATCAGTAGGTATCACTTTATAAACCCCACCAAATATGTTCCCGTCCCACGCTGTACATCACTTCTTGGAACCAACGCCCCACCACTGCTGGGACACGCACTCTGAATGTCATGAAATTGGCGTTTTGGCGCCTCTTATAGATCTTATCAGTCGGTATCACTTTATAACCCCCACAATTGTGCCGGTCCCACCTGTATGCATCACTTCCTGAACATACGCACTCCACCACTGCTGGGACACGCACTCTGAATGTCATGAAATTGGCGTTTTGGCGCCTCTTATGAGATCTTATCAGTGGGTATCACTTTATAAACCCCACCAAATATGTTCCCGTCCCACGCTGTACATCACTTCCTGGAACCAACGCCCCACCACTGCTGGGACGCGCACTCTGAATGTCATGAAATTGGCGTTTTGGCGCCTCTTATAGATCTTATCAGTAGGGTATCACTTTATAAACCCCACCAAAGATATGTTCCCGTCCACGCTGTACATCACTTCCTGAACCAAACGCCCACCAACTGCTGGGACGCGCACTCTGAATGTCATGAAATTGGCGTTTTGGCGCCTCTTATGAGATCTTATATCAGGGTATCACTTTATAAACCCCACCAAATATGTTCCCGTCCCACGCTGTACATCACTTCCTTGGAACCAACGCCCCACCACTACTGGGACGCGCACTCTGAATGTCATGAAATTGGCGTTTTGGCGCCTCTTATGAGATCTTATCAGTAGGTATCACTTTATAAACCCCACCAAATATGTTCCCGTCCCACGCTGTACATCACTTCCTGGAACCAACGCCCCACCACTGCTGGGACGCGCACTCTGAATGTCATGAAATTGGCGTTTTGGCGCCTCTTATAAGATCTTATCAGTAGTTATTTGAATATTCATTCTAATTTTCGAAAATCTCGTTTGAATCGATTACTCCGTTCGAGTTCGTTTCGCCCCTCCCTATTTTGTTGGCATCGATTCATTTTATAGATTACAGCTGTGTAAACATTGATAGGTTTATCCGTAA